TCACTTCTCTGCAGACCTTCCTGTGTCAATTTTTGGACGAACGAGCGACGTCAGAGCGTGAAAGAATTCTAATTTTAGCCCCAAAATAGTGGTTTCTCTCGCGGTTGTGAAACGTGAAAACAGACGCGGATCGTTTTCGACGCGTTGAATTACAGGATACGCTTGATTAGCCGAATTACAAGAACGATACCCGGAGGGATAGGGAAGCCAGAGAAACCCCGCGCGCGTCACAATGCAAAGATTAAAGGAAGATTTATGGCGTGCCGGTCAGAATCGGCGAACATGGCCTCGGATCGTACTGCTTCTATTCATCGATTCTACATCTGTTCGAGGCGTTCATGTCGAGTATACTTGTCACGAAAAAATTTTTTTGTTTAACGTCGAGCTTTTGCTATTTATTGTAAGACTTAAGTAAAAAGATTATACGTGTATATTGTAATTTCAGCACATTTTGGAACGTTTCAAGGCGGCAGAACAAACAAAGGAAATATGCAGTTGAAATTAACGGGAATTGCTCGAGAGGATAAAATGCAAGAACGAATTAAACTTATCTCTAATCATTTTGATCCTGCAAGTATTTGATTTCTTTGTTTCTTTTTACGAACTGATGAAAATTCAAGTTCTTTTCTCCACAGGATTGAATTTTTTTATGGAATAATTTTCAAAAAAGAATAAAATAAAATGCCAACGAAAACCTTATCATTTTGTTATATTTTAATTCGACGAATCTTATATTTTAATTCTATAACTCTCTGTCTTGTCATCGCCTAAGAGGGAATAATTAAGAACACACCAGTGCACATTGTCAAAATAAAACGAAATGCCTAAGGGGTTAACACTTGTGCTCGCAATGTTCGTACGAGAGATTTGATCTTCTCATTTGTTACGAGTAGACGCAGAGAAATCCCGCTGGTGTAACCGTTCGGTGTTAGAAAGAAGTCTCGTTGCGAAAGTGGAAATGTCACAGAGCAGATGAATCGCAATGAAGCCATTAGTGCCAGAAAGCACTGGCGGGTTCGACAATCTTTTGCAACGTGTAGAACGAACAGTGACTCGGTGAATCACAATGAAGAAACGAGATGAATTTGCATTGGAACAAAAGACGAGTAGGTTCTTTTATATATTGTTCGTGATTCAAAAAGCCATTAATTTGAATATTGGACAAGAATTTTCAATTATCACTGGTAATAATTAACACGCGTGATATAATCGGCTCGACTTAAACATAAAACCGCGTCAGAATTTGTTAATGTATTGATCTCATCGACTCGTTACCACCAAATTAACGCTAAATGGTCTAACTACCAAAATGGTCAAAATTTGATCAATTTGTAATTTTCGTTGGAAATTTTATAGATGTAAAATAGATTGTACTTTCAGAGTGATTCTTTGTAAATACAGGATGTCCCAAATTTAAATGTCGAAAGTTCGGGAGTATGTAGGGAACTATAACAAATTAAGAAAATATGTCTTTTAGAGATCAGCTCGTTTTTTTTTCTCCATTTTGAATACAATTTATATCATCTATTTAATGGAAATACTGTTCGAAATACTAATCTTTCAAGCATTACATCGAACATTGAACACTCTGATTGAAGTTTGGTCTTTCAGTTGTTCTTTCGAGTTGATTGGCATTCGAATAAACCTACTGAATAAGTGAGAAAATGAAAAAATTTGTTTCTGTCTTTTCTCTAAAATGCACCAAATCTCTAAAGAATGTGTTTTCTTAGTTTATCGTTTTTCCCTGTACACCCTTTTCAAGTTTCGACATTTAAACTCGTGTTTTGTCGGAAATTTTAAATCGAAGCTTGTGTCATTTATTGCATTTTCTGTTCCTTTGCTTCGACGACACGTATCTGATGGAAATCTTACGTTTCAGTTGCGGTGTTAAAAATTTATCAAAGGATCCGACTGTCGAAGTCGTTAACGCGATGTTGAGTACACACATGCCTGGCAGCGAAGTGTATTCAATTTCTAAAGTAATTTCCAAAGTATGATCAAACACGCTTCGCCTTCGGCCTTGTCATTCCCAAATGACAACGAAACGATTACACGGAACTTGATAACTCGTCGAATAATAGAGCACAGTTATTTTCGTGAGAAGGACGAGTGTGAACGAGTGACAGGTGTGTTTGTCGGTTGTTTAAGCGTCATGTATTCGTCATCGTTAACGAAAAATGGAGCACGAATATATCGATGGTATCAGGGAGGGGGATCGATTCCCTGGAACTTCGCTCTATTTTCATCGTGTGAACGTTTCGTTCCTGCCACGTTCCTGAGCACGCATAATGCGTCACGGCATGGCCGTCCTCGTTTCGAGCACACCTCGAACGAAGGTAAAAACCTGCTCTCGACCGGCACGAAATCCCTGTCGAAGTGTGTTCGAGGAAAACGCCAACGACCACGAGCTTTTCTCCCCTATCCGTCGTTACAATTTCTCTTTTTTTAGTCACAGCGTGACCGAAGAGAGTGATCGTATCCCGACGACAGTGGAAAACTGTCGATAATTTAAACTGTCGATACAACTTTATAAAAAAGAAAAATCTTGTCTCAAAGTGTGAAGTCTCTACCGAGTACGTTTTTCTCTTCAAGATGAAATTCAAACATTTGTGAAAACGTCACGACTGGATCTACAATGCTCTTGAAGATTGAAGTTTTACGACGAGCACTCAAAACTTGCGATTCTTGTTTTCAATCTTCGAAATGATGGTGGATCTAGTTGAAAAAGATGATGACGATGGATCTAGAGAAAAAATTTCTTAATGTTTTCGCACTCGTTTGAATTTGTTCAGTTTTCGAGGGAAAGGTATCCTCACTTTTTACAATAAAATTTGTCCGATTTTTTTTTTTTTTATTGTTACAAATCAATTTCATGACATTCAGTGAATTTTGAAAATGTCATCCAAGTCATTTCAAGCTTGAAAAATCATATTTCCTTATAAACTAATAACACACCAAATTTCACACTCGTGATAGATTCTAATCTTACGAGACGAAATAATTTCCTTCAAAAATATGAAATATTCTGTTTCACAGTATAAAAATATTTTTTAATTCGTTCGGACGCGAATCATTAAACATCTCGGAATGAATAATAACATAATATGACTTATTGTTAGACCACATTCATAATCACCGGTACAATATAAGACTCAACGAGTGGTTCACTCTCGCGAGGATTGTTTCTTTTTCCTCGCTCGCGATAATCTCAGAAGGATCCCGATACCATAGATAAGGGCTGTTAATCGCGGCAAAGTATAGGATAAAGTTTTAAAGCCGCGAGAGTTACGATGCAAACGCGAGCCTTTCATCTGACGTGGTTCCCCTGTTAGGCGAACCTAACGCTTCGGCGTTTCACAGCGTCGGAAATGGACGATTAGAGCCACGAGTTTCGTGGCCCCCTGCATGCAACCAATTAGCTTCTGGCCGCGGTTAACGCTGAAATCTACTTCGAACCGCTTCAGATTAAGTCCGTCGCTTTTCACGGACCAATATATATTTGGGCCATCGTGATCGAAACGACAAGTCGTCGTGCTTTGTCAACCCTAATGGACGAAACTCTCGCCTACTCGCCGATGTCAGGAAGTTCTGATGGAATCTGGAGTCGAAGAGAAGAAAATTAAGCTCTCGGGTGAAATCAAGATAACAGTTTCGTTTAGATGTTTCTTAGACTTTTGACCGAGAGATTCGTCGTTACCTTGCTGATTGTTTTCTAAAGTTCAACTTTCGAATCTTTCATCTCTGTTTCGCTAATATTTGAGTTGGAAGGGAACAAGCTCGATCGATTTCGCGATCCAACCGTTGGGAAAAGATTCTACGAGAGACGTGTTCGCGTTCGCGATCTGCAATTCAACACTGAACGATCGAAATCGTTCTCACGGTGTGTCCTAGGCTTTTCACCTAACTCTCGGTTTCGTATTTTAGTGCACGAACGAAAGTGTCTCGCGTTTCTCAAGCTCGAAAGAATCGCCCGCAGGATGATAAATAATATTCAAGAAACGATACACCGCTGAACGAGTTCGTTCGACAAGTTTACAGTCATATCGTGTTATCTGCGTGATTAATGCGAAGCAAACGTACGTACTCGCGTTTTTATCCTATCTTCTGGTCGTCCATCTTTGTTTTTTTTTTTTTTTTTTTTTTTTT